AAATCACATTTTTTACTAGGTAAATCAACCATAAATGGCAACTTTCAATAGCTATATTAGTTTACCAGAGGGTACTGGATGTCACTGGCTAAAAAAACCTGAGACCTGTTCGGGCGCTCAATACATCATGTTGATTCATGTCGCTGGTCCAACAAATCATGTTTGGTACTTAAACCTCCATTTGCAAAAGAATGACTTTGCCTCATGAATATCCATGAATATCCATGAATATCCATGAATATCCATTAATTATTCAGGGATGGATTATCCATGAATTATCCATTAATATCCATTAATATCCATGACTACCCTGTGTGGTCTCTTGGTTCATCAGATTTTTCAACGCTTCAACTGGGGCTGCGACAAGCCAGGCGCCAAGGTGAAGGTCAAGGGCACCAAGGCTCCGTCCTTCACCAAACCTTCCCAGGGAGCCCTCGGTCCGTGGTCCATGGCATGTATGACATATATATGGTACGAATATAGTATTAATATAGTATAGTCCACCATATATTATATATGTATGTAATACATAATATGTATGTAATATATATATATATAGATATGTAATATATATATATGTAATATATATATATGTAATATATATATAATATATATATATAATGGTATTTAAAAATCATGAAACAGTCCACATGAGTCCATGGCATTATCCCACTCAATGGCTTATTCATAGGATTTAATAGGAATGCCTGTGGTGATGAATCAATAAACCTCATCTGCGGCAGGCTGCGGGTGCGATGTTGAAGAACACTCGGTGCATCTGACATACCAAACATATCTAAAAACGGCATCAGATTAATCACTAACTATATAACTACCGAACTCCCGCACCAACTCTATTAACCAACGATAAGCAACGTATCTTGGGCATTGACATATCTAAAGTGCAATCTATTACCATCTACTACATCCGTGATGGACCGTTGAGCTGGTGGACAATGGATGTCTTCCGTTTCCGCAACCCAAAGTCTCCATGGATATCGATTTGTGAAGTTTGGTGATACCCTCCAGTGACCGGACCCTAATAGATATGCAAAACGTACTACGAAAGTATCCATGCCTACATCACAAAATTCAAACTTTACACCAAACTCAGGCCATACCCTCTGGTAAACTAACAGTTTGCTATTGAAAATGGCCAGTTATAGTTGATTTACCCATTAAAAATGGTGGATCTTTCCATAGCTATGTTAGTCATTACCAGAGGGTAACTCAGGTCATCTCCGGAAACATTCATCTGCCTCTGGCCAGGCGAAGGCCAACTGCCAAGGATCGGCTCAAGCAAATCGGCCTAGCAAATCAGTTATGCAAAATGATGTCCGGAATTCCATGGTCGAATAACTAGATGAATAGTAGTTACTAGTCTATAGTAATAATAGTTATAATAGTCAATTCCACTAGATGAATAAGAGTTAGATGCTTGGAACTCCTAGATGAATGATAACTAGTAACAAATATAATTACCATACTAGATGAATGATAAATAGTAATAATAGTTAACAATATATTATAATGATAATAAAATACATAATACTAGTCAGAACTCCATAAGGAATGAACGTAATGAAAGTCATTTGAATTTGGATCCATTCATCATTCATCCAAAATGGACTATTGACTTCTCAAAATATGGCAATGTATCGGACACAAAGAGGTGCAACCAAACAAAAACTATGGAAGCGATTATGAAGTGTGGACACAACAATTGGCGAAGGAAAAGCGCCATGACCTAGCATACATGATTGATATCTTGGCATTCAACATCCAAATCTCATTGAACACATCGGGTGTAGCCAAGAAATTGCTTCAGTGGAATAAAACTCATTAAACTATCACCTTCATCAATGCTCTGTCTCCTTTGTTGGAGTAACGGACTGGATTGTGAGCCCAAAAACAAATGGGAGATTTTGGAATATACTGTCTTTTCACGATAGCCAACACCCCAGAAACATGTGGATGAAATTACCATGCGAAAAATCAAATTCCCAGATGGCTAGTTAGTAAATGGTTACTCGCCATTTTTCAACACAGTCAATTGCACTCTACTTGCAAGTTGTGATCCAGTTGTACCAACGAGCGGATGCACACATGACCCACTACCGGTGAATCAGCATATGGAAAACCTGGTTGCCAGAGGAACATGATCCACAAATGATTGGTTTTCCATACAATGTGGTGCCCATACTCAATTTGTTGCCTTCATACTCCATTTCAACCACTTCGATGTAGTATCTCCCAGTGAAATGTTGGTCACAAAGCCACATTCCGAAAGATCCCATTGAACCACCATCAAACCCTTGTTATTCACTGTTATCCCACTTCTCATCCCAAGAATGTCCCTACTTCATCCACTTATCACAGACTAACGGTTTGGTTTACCACCAAGTTGTTGCCAGAAATTGCTTACCTACCAATTCTTTATTCCAACTAGTTCCGGAAACATTCACCTACAGGATGGAGCCCCATAGTCAGCTAAGTTGGTTTACAACTATAATGACACGAGTGTATGATATTTATAACTATATTTAGGTGGGGCTATAAACCAACAAGACAAACATCACTGGGTGGCCCCATCCTGTACCATTTACCTACCTTCATCACCTTAGATCACCAGAGGCCGATTCCCATGGCCTTGGTGGGCCTGATGCACTTGTCTCCTGGATGCGCTTTTCTGGGACATGAACAATACACCAATATCTATTAACAACAACAACCATGTTTAGATCCGTGTGTATATACATATATATACATATGATTTATATGATATTTAAGATATATGCATATATATATATATCAAATAACACAAATGTAACATATGAGATTTTTAGTTTATATCAATCAGATCCAATCAACCATCCATGCAGTGACAGGACATGCAGTTTGGTTGAGCCACCAATACCGAGGATTGACGATGGTCCTGAGCCTGGACTAGGTCTGTATACTTACATACATTGTCAAATGTATATAATACGTCTTTCCAAAAATGTACAAACAGATAGGTAGATAGATAGATGGATAGGATAGGATAGGATAGGATAGGATGGGATGGGATAGGATATGATAGGATAGGATAGGATATGATAGGATAGGGCAGGATTGGAGGATAGATGGATAGATAGATAGTCAAACAAATAGATAGATATAAAGATAGATATTAAAAACAAAAAAAAACATATAAAGATAGATGATATAAAGATAGATGATGTAAAAATAGATATAAATATAGAGAGATACGTGGATTAGATGGATAGATAGATATAGAGATATAGATAGAAATAAGATATTAGAAGTTAAAACATATTAGAAGTTAGAACATATTAGATTGGATTAGATATGAGATATATTTTTTTAGAAGTTAGAATATTTAGAATATATTAGATTAGATTATATTGGATTGGATTAGATTAGCTGGGATTAGATTAGATTGGATTGGATTAGATTCGATATCATATTCTATTAGATATCATATTAGATAAGATTAGACTTAGACTTAGGATTATATTAGATTAGATTCAATTGGATAGATTCGATTCAGATAGATAGATAAATAGAATTATATAAATAGGTAATTAGATAGATAAATAGACAAATGATACACATATAGATAAAGGATAGGAAAAGAGAGAGAGAGAGAGAAAAGCCCAAAAACATAAATAAAAGGGAAGATATCAATAACGATTGCGTGGTCGGCAAACTCTTAGTAATTAGCTCCTTAGCTCCCCTCCATGGCTGACCTGTTTCCGCAAGTTTTGGAGCAGGACGCCGCGTGCGATCTTGCCAGTCGCCGCATTCCTCAGACCGTGGAAAGAATCCCATGCCGACCACGGGTCCCAACCAGGTGCAAATCCAAACAAAAAACATGGTTTCTGCGGGGGATGGGACTATTTCAGGCACTTCAGGTATCTAAAGATTTGATATACCCTCTGGTAAACTAACATAACTATGGAAAATCACAATTTTCAGTGAGTAAATCCACTATATAAATGGCGGTATTTAAACAAACAAACCAATCTTTTTCCGGGTTGCAAGGCGTATGCAAGGGAATATCCCCGCGAAATAAGGGTCCTGAAATTCCTGAGCTAGGATCTGAATTCAATCAGATGGAATTGGACTCAGTGGAGCAAAAAAACACTGGGATTGGTATGTGATTCACAATAGGTAGGATGATTTATAATCGCAACTAAGAGTAAGTAAGATTTATGGATATTTATGGTGGATGTCTATAGAGTTGAATGGGTGCAAAGACCAATTTATGACAGAGGGAGCAAACCTGCAACGGCATGATTTTTGGTTTTGTTAAAGTATACATAAATGGGGCTACGCATGAATTTAGATCAATTGTAGATTTGACATGTGAATCACAAAAAACGGACAGACGTTGCGATTGAAGAATCAAAATTCACATATTTCACCACGGTTAGTCTACACTGATCAAACATGGATGGCTGGGGAATCCACGATTTCAACATGGATGGCTTCTTGGGTTGTCATCTGAAATTACCGGAGCATATCTCTGAAACAAACATTTCTCGAAGCTGGTGCGTTTGTACCTTGACATGTACTGGTCATGGGACTGTGTTACAGCGAGACATTCTATCAAAACGGGTTCCTTCGACTGTTTCGAAACGCTTGTGTGAGATACATTCATTTCTACTGCATAATTCATAAACCCTGGTTTGCTCAATTAGGGGGGCACATCCCCGAAAAGTGATATATAGTCATGGCTGCAAAAATGGCACCACATTTCTCTGAGTTGATCCACTGAGCCATTTAAGGTCTTTTTCGTGGCTAAAAACCACAGTTTTGCTACATGGTGGTTCAAAACCCTGGGCTAACCATAGGTACCTAAACAATAGCTGGCTAAATCTGGCTAAATCTGGCTAAATCTGGCTAAATCTGGCTAAATCTGGCTAATGAATGTGTATTCTCCCAAATATCATGGCAACAGGCTTTGACCCATCCCCACATCAATCCCTCATTCTTTTCGTCTTTTCGTCTTCGCGGGTTCGAGTTCACCGCCCATTGTAAGGCGCTACAGCAGCCCAAGAGATCCTCCAAGAGGGACCTGGGAGATCCACAGATTTTTGCCAAGAAATGCTGGTTTAACCATGGTTTAACCATGGAAAATGGTGTTTTTTTTAGCATCAAATCAAACATGTTGCTATTTCAGGGTGATTTCATGGGATAGAACGGTGATTTACTGGCGTGCATATGCGGATTCAACCATGGACAATGTGGTGTCAACCAGGGAAAATGTGGTGTCAACCAGGAAAGATGGTGGATTCATGGATGATCTGGGATACACTCAGGATAAAAATGTGATAAAGCCAATAGCCAACACTCATAAGCTGCCCCAGTCCAAACAGCTGATGTTTTTGAGGCTACAGAGAACGGACAGAAATGGCGATTTGCCACACGATTTTTTGTGGATTTCGCTAAGTTGGTACACAGTTCACTCATATAACTCGCTGTTGGGTTTCTGGTAGATATATCGCACTTATTTGTGAGGCTTATTCATGTGTATGTATATATATATAATTATATATAAACTATTATAAACTTAAAAAACAAACATAACATGGGGATACCACCTGAATGTGGCAAAATCCAATAATCAATGGAAACTTGCCAAATGTAGATACCCAGATATAGTGGTGCTGTGCTGATCGCCCATCCCAACTGGAGCGAACTGGAGCTGATTTGACCAAGCCCCAACGGTTACCCTATGTATCCCACAATTTGGTAGGGGGGGACAACAACCCAAAAGCAAGACCGGCCTTCTTTGTCGGGCTGGACTCGGCTGGATGCTTGGTATTCAATCAACATTCACTGGTTTATCATGGTTTATCATTATTTTCCCCAAGTAAATTGCCATTTCTGGGGCACAAAAATGGCCACCAAATTACTGATCCCCTGCTTCTTACACCAACTCGGCAAGTCGCAGTGCTTGTCGCCACTTGCCGCGCGTCTCACAGGCGTGGATTGCTGAGCTGTAGGTAATCACATTGACCTCGCGGCAAGACGTTTGAACGTGTGACAGATACGAACAGGTCAATCATAACATATCAATAGGGTCGCAACTTAAATAATTGTTGAAGTAGGTTAGCAACTAGATTAACTTGTTCACCAACATCTATCTATTTTGATTCCTAAATATATTCCCTGACTGGTTGAATCATGTTGTATTCCTACACGGTGCCCTGAACATAACATTTTAGTTGCTACTCAGGGATAGCCAATTGTCTGTTGACACATCCCCATGTGGATCCATCGAGCCTGTTTTAGTATCGACTGCCTGTCGGTATTTTTTGAAAGTCCAGCAGCAATGATAGTATGTGTATATATATATATCCCTTATTTCTGGAAGACCAACAATTAGGGTCATTTTCTGCAATACAAACATGTATGGACTGTTATTCACTACCGCATTGGGTCACGAGGAGTTAGAGGTTGTAATAGGGGGATTATAGAGCACCCGATGCCATGCTGCAAATCGCATCGAAACTTAGCTACACTGCGAAACTTGCTTGACTTTTGGCCGGGTATCTAGCAACAAAAACGACCTTCTTCAGTTATGCGCCATCACCGCTGATCATAATTTTGGATTGCAATAAAAACATATATATAAAACCAATAAAACAGTACAGTATATGTTTGGGGTCTAAAAAAAACATGAATGGCAAACAAAATACCCTCTGGTAATTTAACATAGCTATTGAAAATGGCAATTTATAGTGAGTTTTCCCATTTAAAAAAGTGATTTTCCATAGTTTTTGTATGTTTACCAAAGGGTAAACCAACATACCCTTCACCGAGGTGTTGGAAAAAAACAGACACCAAAACCGCCACGTCACCTGCAAGCGCCTCTGCTGAATGTCAGTCAAGAGAAGCAAGGCTTGCTGCCATTCCTGAGACGGGACACACCTTCAGCACGGGTTTAATCACCATGGCATTCAAACATCATTCTCCATGAGGATTTTTGAGGATAATCAAAATCAACGTATCAAATATTTCTTGACAAACAATAGCAACATCATCGAAGGGATCTACTATATACACCACCAACAGCAGTAAGAAAAAACATGTGCAGAGCAATCCTACAATTGGCTCAAACAGCTTTCAATCCACCAAGGTGGATGAATTGCTCTGTCCAAACAGCTACTACAATGACTTCACACATGTTGATGCCCACAAGGCAGACATATTTGCGTTCATATTCATTGATGCTGCTATATTCACATCACTTGGTGATCATGTCCAGCAACCAAGTATCATATACCTAATATAGATAGATAGATAGATAGATAGATAGATAGATAGATAGATAGGTAGATAGGTAGATAGATAGATAGATAGATAGATGGATAGATGGATAGATGGATAGATGGATAGATGGATAGATGGATAGATGGATAGATGGATAGATGGATAGATAGATAGATAGATAGATAGATGGATGGATGGATGGATGGATGGATGGATGGATGGATGGATGGATGGATGGATGGATGGATATATATATAGATAGATAGATAGATAAATAGACGGATGGATAGATAGATAGATAAATAGTTGTACGTACAAATTTAAATACTTACATTAATATCAATGACTCGTTTTTTTCGCAACCCCAAATCCCAAGAAAAGATTATGATCTCCCCGTGAAGGCTTCCAGGCTTCCAGGCTTGTTCCGGATCTTTTCTGGGGGTTCATGTACCTATCCAAACTAATAGATTTATAGATTAAAACATATGGACATATGATAGAACATGATGGTAAAAATGCCAATCACCCTTGAAATCCCATGAAATTTGCATACAATCATCATAAAATCACCATTTCTATAGTTGGGTTCAACATTCATTGTACAAATTTGGGAATACCATGGACTATTACCCATTCGATCCCACAGTATATTAGTATATCACCTTTCAATCCCACTAGAATTCCCATTACCCCATTACAATCCTATGAGAATCACCTTTCAATCCCACCATGAAATCACCACTTTAAATCACCATAGAAGTGTGGTTAAATCCCCGTGGATTTTACCCAAGGGGCACCAGCTTGGTCGCAGGCCAATATGGCCGAGCTGTAGCCTGGGAGTTTTTCTAAAAACCGGGGCCATATCCCTGAGGAGTGGAGGATGATCTGGGAAGTTGATATCTCCATATAATTATATATATATATATATGTTTTTTATTTTTCATTTATTTATTTATTTACTTGTCTATATATTTACTTTACTTTATCTATGTATTTCTTTCATTCATTGAATTATGTTTGATATGTTTGTTTGTTGATATCAGAAGTTGATAGATGTTGATGTTAGTTCTGGATTCTTGCGGGTTGTGGTCATATCATCGGCCAAAAAAAAGGTGGTTGGGAGGTTTCCTGCAGATCATGTGACTCATTTTTGGTACTTATCAACAATGGATTGGTTTACCCTCTGGTAAACATACAAAAAACTATGGAAAGATCCACCATTTTATAGCTGGGAAAATCCACTATTTCTATGGCCATTTTCAATAGCTTTTTGTATGTTCACCAGAGGGTAAGGGAAAATTTAGAGGGAAACCCCATCTTGAATGGGAACATCACTCTGGTTTCCTGTCAAGATTTTCCCGACTAAACCAATCGATGATCCTCAATGGTCGTCATGTTTGGAGATTGACTGAGATTGACTGGCTGAGTGGCACCAAGAAAAATCCACCAGTACGGGTTGATTATATGGTTTGATTATATGGTTCATATAAACCAACTATTTATATGATTGTATAAAAATGTATAAAATAGTTTTATACACCACCAATCAACCATCAATCCCCATTTTGCTTAAACCACCATGTGGATCATCATGTCTATCGGTCTTGTTCTCCAGATATATGGCACCACCATAGCGAAGCAAGGAGCTGATCATGTCCTCAGCTGAAAGGTCGATTCGTCACCCAAAATGGGACAAGTATGGTGGTTTAGTGGAGACACTTTTCCGAAAAAACATGGCTTGAATTATGACATGTCTGATTTGATTGTTGCACCATAAGTCACTAAGCTGACATCTGAATGTCGTGGCTGATTTTGGGGAGAGTCAACCAACAAGAATGGAGATTTCAATAGATTTGGCCAATAAGAATGGGGATGTCATTCAGCAATGACGAATAGACTGGGGCCCGACCGCCAAGTTTCATTGGAAGTACCGTACTGTATGAGTGGTTGGGATTCTCAACACATTCAGAATCACTAATTAACAGAAATTGCAAAATCCGCCAACAAAACTGAGGATTGGACCAGCGGAAATTAGATTGCCTACCAATTGGTTATTCTAGTAGTCCAACAATTACGGTTTGGTTTTGTACCCAATCGGTCGAATTTCTCGACAGAAAAGGAACATCCAAAAGAGCCCCTTGACTTCGCCGAGTTCGCTGCGATAGTTTTCTCGGACACGTCATCACTGGATTCCTGTTTCTACCCACCATCAACTCCTGGACTCTGAATTTGCCCCTTTTGTTTGGTTGGTGAAATGACATTTCCCACAGTTTTTAGCTAACAGTCTAACCTCATTTCTTAGGCCAGCAGGAGCTATAATCCCATGGCGCTATGTTTGTTTATATAGTACTAGTGGATTTACCCATTAACAATGGTGATTTTCCATAGTTTTTTTGTATATTTACCAGAGGGTAAAGCCCGTGAATGCACGATGCCATCAACCAACTCCCCAAGGCTCAGAGGGCCCAGAGCCCAAGCGTCTTCCTGCAACCGCTTTTGCCGCAGTTGGAGCAGAAGGTCGACTGCTCGATGCCACTGGTTTCCCTTCTCACCTAGGGCCACGGCTCAAGTTCTTCTTGGTTTAGATCATATCAAATTGTTAACTATAATTGTAAAACAAATATATAACTATAATGTTGCATCTTAATGGTTCTGCCCCAAGTCTTCCAGGCAGGCTGCAGGCACATGTCAAGACAGTGTTCCTTAGATTCCCTGTTACTGTTCCTGCTATGTACCCAAGTTTGGCTGAATATTTGCTGGTGCTTGAGCCACATATCCCAAAATACTCGACAACTGAGATCATCGTCTCAGGGCAGCCAAAGAAGTTTCATCCCCAATATATATATATATATATCCTATTTAGTATGTTATTGGATGGTGAAACATTGGTTTATGAATAAACTGATTTGGAATTATTCATAAAAATGTCTATGTTGAAATATGTTAACCACACCCGATTCTCAACCATCTCCACTTTCACCATCATTTCACCATCGTTTCGCTTGTGTCGCGGCCACGAGACATGCCGAAATGCTTGCGTTGTAGGAGATCACATCAGCTCTCAGGTCCTCCTCGTCCCAAGTCATGGATACCCTCTTGAGGGTGAAAAACCCGTTGAAACTCAAGTCGCTGGTGTCTGAATAGAGGAATTTAAAAAAAACATTGCTTAATGGCTATTATTCATTTATTTATATACATATAGGTTAAAATGATGGTTAATAATGGTTAATAATGATTCATAGAGGAATAATAATTAAGGGAAGCAAAGGTAAAAAAAGTCATTTGCGAGACTCATTTTTCTAGGGGGGTCCATGTCAATGTTGGAGGGGATTATAAGAATCACAAGGTGGTGCGCCCCAGTTAAAATTGGGTTATAACCAGCGATGTTTGTTACTTTATAACCCCAACTAAATGTAGATATGTCCTCACCATCAACCCAAGTGAGATTGGAGTTGTCTTCACCAACACCATTCCAAACTCGCTGCGCCACCTTGCCGCCCCAAACGCTTTGTCCTCCATTTTGGCCAAGAGAAGCAGAGCATGTTGCCATTTCCCCTGCTTTTCACAGGCACTGATGATGCAGTTGTAGAGGATCACCTCGGGGGGGGGTAACCTGGGAGACACTGGAGAACGGCCATACCTTTTATGTCTGCACCATGACATGTGTTTTTTTTTCTATATCTAAATTACAAAAAACGTGCGAAACCATGTGTTTCACATGTTTCAGAGAGACATGAACACCTATAGACATGTGATACGAATTGCTTTGAAAGCAAACAATGTTCCATAGCAACCCGGAATTCAAACCCAGGGATTTCCCTTTCTGTCAGAACCCTTTCCTGTCAACAAAATCCTTGAGCGTTGAGTGGGACTATGAAAAACATATCAATCATCATCTATTAATGATGGGACTAATATCCATGGGATTATGCTGTCAATGATATCCTTATTCTATATATATCATGATGGATCATAGTCCCATATGTTATAGTCCTATGGTATCAATCATTGATCATCAAGATTTTATTCCCAAAATAAAAACCCCAATTGATATTAAAATATTGTCCCATTATAGCGCCACAGATTATAGTTCTATGATGTCAATTATTTATTGTATTATGGGACAAAAAATACTGATATGGGACTAAAATAATGAAGGGTATATCATCAATGGTGATATAAGCCTTCATTAACGGGGATATAATCCATTATAATCCCATATATCCCCACTGTCAGATACATATTCTTATATATCCCATGATGGATCATAATCACATACATTACAGTCCTATGGTGTCAAACATTGATCATCAAAATCATATTCTCAATAGAAATCCCAATTTGTATTAAAACTTAGTCCCATTATAGTTTTAATATTCCCATTGTCCAATGGTGTCACTTATTGGCTATATTATATATGTATTATCTTATATTACTATATTATAGGACTAACATAATAATGAAATATGATGTCCCATTGTCCCGTCCCTAATATATAATACATTATAGTCCCATTATATATATAATCCACTAATGGGGATATACCTCATTCTGGTTGGTGGTTTCAACCCCTCTGAAAAATATTAGTCAGTTGGGATGATTATTCCTAATATATGGAAAAATCAACAATGTTCCAAACCACCAACCAGCATTAGTATGTTATTCCAATTATTAACCATAGATTAACCAGAAATTAACCATAGATTAACCATAGATTAACCATTACTATATAAACCATGTGGTAGTATCCCCATTGATCTTTCCCCGTCTCCCAAGGCACATCCCGCTGCACTGCTCCGGTCGTCATCTGGCGCAGGAGCTCCAGTGCTTCGCGCCAGGCGCGGCCTTCTTCGCAGGCGCTCACCGCGGCACCTGACGGGAACGTCCCGTGGAAGTGGCTCAAAGTAGGGCAAAATGCTGGGTTTATGTAGGTTTATTGTAGGTTTTTAACCGATTGACCTGGCCCAAATGATAAATTGTTATATTCTTCAACCAGTTTTCAACAGCTTTAAGTGCGGAAAAAGTTGGGTGAACTGCATTGATATCCGACAATGTGGATATGATCCAGCAAAAACATAACCTATTATATTTCGCTCAACGCTTGCTAAAACGTTTTCAAAAACTGGGGATGTCATCCGGTATGACTACACATACTCCAATCATATCATGACTATGTGGTAGATTCACCACTTTCGTTGCTTAATTCCCATTTTTTATGGCTAAACCCAGCATGTTTATCCATTTTTCTTGGTTGAAGCTACCCCAAAGCCATCCAAAGCCCGAGGCCCAAGGCACTGAAAGTGATCAAATTCGCCTCGACACGCCGCTCTGCCAAGGTGCTGAAGAGATGCAGGGCGCATTGCCAGTCCTGAACGGAACTGTTTCCGATTTTGGGTGGGAAATAACCAGGGTTAATGGCCATTATTAGTGGTTTATAATGGTTCTTAGTGCTTATTAAAAAAACATGGTTAAGTTACTTAACTTCATAACCTCGCTTTTGAATGGTTATAACAATGGTGAATAGCCTATAGTAGCGGTTGATAGTGCTGAATATACCGCTAGTAACGGCCACGGATAATCACTGGTGAGTTCGTGATGGTCCAATGGGATAATGGTGATACATTGGGCACTGAGCTTCATGGTAACTTCATCAAATCAACTATAGTTATAATCACCAAACATCTATAGTTATTATCTATGATGAAACCTATAGTTATAATCTCGTAATTACTAACCTATAGTCACTATAGTTATTTTACTAGTTATTTAGTTATGTGGCTGTAATGCAATCAAGCTATCTATGGTGCACCACCTAGCATGGGTTTTCCACTGGCTTGGTTATGGGTTTCTTGCTATTGAACCGTTCCAAATGCGGTGGTCAAAACAAAATTGTCGTGTTGAGAAACAACAACAGAAAATTGACGGGGATGAAATGGAAATTGAAATTGCTGAGATGGAGATGTCATTGATGGATATCATGTACACAGACTGGGGGTTGAACTTGCAAACGATGGGAATGTCCGGAATTGGGCTCGATACGGATAAGAACTACTGTAACAACAATGGGGATTTGGAGGAGTTAAGGAACTTCAAAAACAGCATGTGGAAACATGGGGCCACTGTGTTTTGCAACGTTCTTAAAACTGCAAATCCGACTGTTTCCTATGTTAACCTGGCTGAAAATTGGGAAAATACACCAATCTATAACAATTGTCATGGGCAAAACATTGGAGAATGATGAACATTAATGCAATTTGCCAAATTATTACCATTAGCGAGGGGGATATATGGGACAATGATGAACATTGGGGAAACTAGTTCAAATTATAGCTATTCTACCTTGTTCAAATATGCGACATATCATCAAAACTGGTGAGCATACCTTAATTCATAAGCATCATCACTCCAAAAACATTGGAAATTTGCCATGTATACAAATTGTCCAATATGTTTTCCGTGTTTTTTCATATGTTCCCATATTTCTGTGGGTTTTTGTATTTTCCTATGCCTTTCCCAGGTTTTTCCCCCTGGATGTTGCGTCCTGCCCGGTACCACAGGCACTGACGGCCGCGCTGCACAAGACCACATTGGCCTCGAGAGATGCCATGGCGGCGCCACAGAGGAAACACAAGGCCTGACGGGGCTGGGTGTCCCATCATAATGGGTACCTGGTATATATGATGTATGCACTATGATGCACAGACATATGTAAAGTTTGCGTGTATATATAGTATATAATAGGTATGTGATGGATGCTTGATGGATATGTAAATATATATATATGGACATATAGTCAGAAATAACAGATATGGATATAATGAATATAATGGGTATAAATGTAATAGTGTATACTTGAGAGGGGGAACACGAAAGGTAGGTAAGCAAGAAAGGAACCGAAGAAAAAATGAAGGGGAGAGGGCAGGGAAAGTCTGGTAAAAGCGACGCGGCCAGTTTCTTTCCAAAAATATGAAGGGGCGTCTGGTAAAAGCGACTGAAAGGCTTCGGCGATGTGGTTGGGGTTGGTGGCGGTTGTGGTGTTGGTGGTGTTGGTGGTGCTGGTGGTGTTGGTGTTGTTGGTGTTGTTGGTATTGGTGTTGTTGGTGTTGTTGGTGGTGGTAGTGTTTCTAGTGTTGTTAGTGTTGTTTGTGTTGTTGGTGTGGTTGGGTTTGTTGGTGGTGTTGGTGTTGTTGGTCGTGTTGTTGGTGTTGGTATTGTTTGTGTTCGTGTTGTTGTTGTTGTTGTTGTTGTTGTTGTTGTTGTGTGTTGTTGTGTGTTGTTGTGTGTTGTTGTGTGTTGTTGTGTGTTGTTGTGTGTTGTTGTGTGTTGTTGTGTGTTGTGTGTGTGTTGTGTGTTGTGGTGTGTTGTGGTGTTGTTGTGGTGTGTGTTGTGTGTGTTCTTGTGTGTTCTTGTGTGTGTTGTGGTGTGTTGTGGTGTGTTGTTGTGTGTTGTTTGTGTTGTTGTGTGTGTTGTTGTGTGTTGTTGTGTGTTGTTGTTGTGTTGTTGTGTGTTGTTGTGTGTTGTTGTGTGTTGTTGTGTGTGTTGTTTGTGTTGTGTGTGTGTGTGTTGTTGTGTGTGTTGTTGTGTGTTGTTGTGTGTTGTTGTGTGTTGTTGTGTGTTGTTGTGTGTTGTTGTGTGTTGTTGTGTGTTGTTGTGTGTTGTTGTGTGTTGTTGTGTGTGTTGTTGTGTGTTGTTGTGTGTTGTTGTGTGTTGTTGTGTGTGTTGTTGTGTTGTGTGTTGTGTGTTGTTGTGTGTTGTTGTGTGTTGTTGTTGTGGTCATTGTTGTGTTGTAGTTGTTGTGTTGTTGTTGTGTTGTTGTTGTGTTTTGTTGTGTGTTGTTGTGTGTTGTTGTGTGTTGTTGTTGTTATTGTTGTCATTCGTTGTTGTTGTAGTTGTTGTGGTTGTTGTGGTTGTTGTGGTTGTTGTGGTTGTTGTGTGTTGTTGTGTGTTGTGGTGTGTTGTTGTGCGTTGTGGTGTGTTGTTATGTGTTGTTGTGTGTTGTGTGTGTTGTGTGTGTTGTGTGTGTGTATTGTGTGTGTATTGTGTGTGTTGTGTGTGTTGTGTGTGTGTTGTGTGTGTGTTGTGTGTGTTGCGTGTGTTGCGTGTGTTGTGTGTGTTGTGTGTGCGTTGTGTGTTGTATGTGTGTTGTGTGTGTGTTGTGTGTGTTGTGTGTGTTGTGTGTTGTGTGTTGTGTGTGTGTTGTGTGTGTTGTGTGTGTTGTGTGTTTTGTGTTGTGTGTGTTGTGTGTGTTGTGTGTGTTGTGTGTTGTGTGTGTGTTGTGTGTGTTGTGTGTGTTTTGCGTGTTTTGTTTGTTGTGTGATGTGCGTTGTGCGTTGTGCGTTGTGCGTTGTGCGTTGTGCTTTGTGCGTTGTGCGTTGTGCGTTGTGTGTTGGTGTTGTTGTTGTTGTTGTTGTTGTTGTCGTCGTTGTTGTTGTTGTTGCTGTTGCTGTTGCTGTTGTTCTTGTCGGTGTTGGTGTTACCCCTGCAGCGTTTTTGCTCGGTTCCGTAGTGGCCGAAAATCGTCAAATCGGTGGTGTTTTCGCGTGTTTTTGCATCGCTCGGAGCAAAAAACACCGTAAATACCAATGTTTTTGGCGGGTCGGAAGCCCAAAACCACGGTATTTACGATGTGCTTTGCCTCTGGTAGTAAAAAGCACGGTATTTACAGTGTTTTTTGGCCAGCGCCTAGCAAAAACACTGGTATTTACGGAGGTTTCACCATGTAGCAAAATGTGGTTTCTTGATCCGAAAAGAACAAAAATACTGTAAATTACAGTATTTTGAGTCTGCTCTTAGGGTGCGTGGGAGGTGTGGAGGGGGGGGGTACTAAAATGACTAGCAATCTCCTGAAGAATCAGGTAACGGGGCTGGCCGCCCTCCCCTTTACTTCGTAAAGTAAAACTCAAGGTAGCCCCTCTGGAGCTACCTTTCGTGATTTGGGGGTGGGTGTACTAGTACAGGACCCAATGATTATAATGACACTAAATCTAACCAGGTGGCACTTACATTTACAAGTAAGAAGATGCGTTTGGAACAGAATCTTACTGATTGTGTGCAATGAGAATTGAAAACCCATTGGAAAGCCTCACGAATAAATTAAATAAACACCCAATCTATTTCTTTTTGCGCCAACAAAGTTTCTCCTCTTTCCCAGCTCGCGTGGCCACGGGCAAAATTAATTTTAGGGTGGGTGTACTGGTTTGGGACCCCATGGTTTGAATTAGTTAAACGACACATTGTCAAATTAATGCGAGGCGGCCCCTCTCTCATTCTCAAGCATTCAGACTAAATTATCTTGGATACCCCTAATCTAACTTAAATTAATCCTCGAATAATCGAGTTCTCAAAAAAAAAACAATTTAAAATTAATTGAACAAAAGTTTATTGGATAACCAACGGTCCACCTGGATTATTTTCTTAAGGTAGGGGTCATGATTTAGAAATTTAGACATGCTCCAGCAGGAGGGAGCGGTCCTTCTGACCCCAGCATCCTGCAACCAGATGCAACCAGGACAATCAGGACAAAACAGCGAGACAAGATTCGGCAAAATCATTGGCAGATGCAGCTTGGAGCAGCCACGGGGTTGAATACGGCTAACACATCACTTGCGCCTCCACTTTTACATCACTTGCGCCTCCACGTCACTTACGCCTCCGTGCATCACTTACGCCTCAAGAGCTAATCACCTGCGCCTCCAATGACCTCCTTCCCATGACATCTGAGGGGAGTCTTCTTTTCTTGCCAAAACAGAGCATGCTCAAAGACACATAAACCCAAATAAACGATGATGCTCATTAAAAAACAAAAGAATAGTAGGTAGCAAGGGGAGCCGGTTAAAAAGAAAAGCGGGTGGGGGGGTGCAGGGGGGAGGGCGCAGCGCCTCCCCCCGCAATGCGTACCAAGAAAGAAGCGCAGAGGCACAAGTATCGATAGATATCAACAAAGATAAGATGAACCCACATAAACGATGCATCTGAAACACCAAACACGGAAGTCGCGCTGCAAGCATAGATCAAAGTTGTCGCTCATGAGCCGCTAAGAAAAAAACACATGGAAACCAAAGAATTAGAAGACGCGTCAAAGCCATACTTGGAGGCCACCGAGACGCCAAACATGGACGCCAATGAACAGGCAAACCTACAAGCCGTCGCAATCGCACAAGCCACATAGAAGCCACACATATAGAAGCAACTCACAAGCCACACTTAGAAGGCAAATAGCTGCCAGATATTAAAGCCATCGAACAGGCAAACTTTGAAGCCATCACACGTGGACGACGATCGTGACAGCCAGATAGAAGCCATCGACCTAGACGCCACCGGGGGGACGGCAACTATCAAGACCACATGGTCGCCGCAGATTTTGAAAGCGACTTAGAAGCCACGATTTGAAGCCACATTAGGAACCGCAGATTTGGAACCCACTGGGACGCCACAGTTAGAGGCCATGTTGAGAGCCGCAGATTTGGGAGGCACTTTAGCAGCCACAGCGCCAAAAGGTCACATTGGAAGCCGTAAATTTCAAAGACACTTAAAAGCCACACTCCGGAGCCTTCCACAATGCCATGATCTAAAAATCTAACTCTTTATTTAAATTTCCACACTGCCATCATCTAAAATCTGCCTCTTTATTTAAACTTCCCCCCCCCTTGCCTTCCACAATGCCATCATCTAAAATCTAACTCGTTATTTAAACTTACCCCCCACTTGCCTTCCACAATTCCATCATCTAAAATCTACCTCTTTATTTAAACTTTACCCCCTTGCCTTCCACAATGCCATGATCTAAAAATCTAACTCTTCATTTATATAAACTTCCCCCCCCTTGCCTTCCACACTGCCATGATCTAAAATCTAACTCTTTATTTTAACTTTCCCCCCCTTGCCTTCCACAATGCCATCATCTAAAATCTAACTCTTTATTTAAACTTCCCCCCCTTGCCTTCCACAATGCCATCATCTAGTTGTTGTTGTCGTTGTCGTTGTCGTTGTCGTTGTCGCTGTCGCTGTCGCTGTCGCTGTCGCTGTCGCTGTCGCTGTCGCTGTCGTGTCGCCCGGCGCTGTCGCGTTGTGTCGCTGTCGCTGTCGCTGTCGCTGTCGCTGTCGCTGTCGCTGTCGCTGTCGTTGTTGTTGTTGTTGTTGTTGTTCATGTTGGCGTTGATGTTGATGTGAAAGTTGATGATGTTGTTGTGGTTGTTAATGTTTTTGTGTTGTCGATGTTGAGACTGCTGTTGATTTTGCTCTTGTTGTTTGTTGTGCATGTTGTCGATGTAAGTAAAGAGGCGTCGGGAGCGAGTATGTTTCCGGCGTTGAAAGCGAGTTGCTTTTCGGCGTCGGGAGCGGGTGTCCGACCTATTAGAAGCCGCAGTTTTGGAAGCCACTTAAGCCACGATCGCAGGGCTCCTTGGGAGACGCAGCTTTAGAAGCCGCACTTAGAAGCAACAATTAGAAATTGGTAGCCACACTCCGGAGGCATATTAGACGCCGCAGACGCCGCAGATTTAGAAGCCACTTAGAAGCCACAGTCGGAGGGCACATCGGGAGCCGCAGCTTTCACTTAGAAGCCACGCTTAGAAGCCACCTTAGAAGCCACAGATTTAGAAGCCACTTCGACGCCACAATTCGAAGCCACTAGAAGCCACTGTAGAAGGCCATATTGAAGGCCGCAGACTTAGAACCTACATGGAAACCACAATTAGAAGCTACCTTGGAAGCCGCCACTAAGAAGCCACCCTCCAGAGCCGCAGATTTAGAAGCCACTTAGAAGCCATGATCTGAGGGCTCAGTAGAAGCCGCAGCTTTAGAAGCCGCACTTAGAAGCCACATTTAGAAGACACTTAGAAGCCACACTCCGAAGCCATATTGGAAGCCGCAGATTTAGAAGCCACTTAGAAGCCACACTCCGAAGCCATATTGGAAGCCGCAGGTTTAGAAGACACTTCGACAGCGCTGTTAGAGATCACTATAGCCGGCCAGGTTAGTAGCCGCGTATTGAGCAACCACTAATAGAAGCCACATTGCAAGCCGCATATTTATAGAAGCCATTTACCCGTTACAATGAGAAGAAGACACTTAGAAGCCACGCATGGAAGCCACAGAGTGAGTGAACTTTCGCACCCTCGCACCTGGAAGGCAACAATCCTAAGTACATAGAAGCCACATACATAGAAGCCATTAGGAACTACATCCGAGGCACAAGCGAGGAAAAACCCGAGGCACAAGCGATGTGCCGACCGTTGAATACCTCCAGCCCTGATTCTCACCAAGGTGCACCAACATGTCTCAGCTTGCCATCGTAGGAGACAGCTGAGGGAGTAGAGCGACCCGACACATCATTCGTGTTGATGGTGATCGCATTCCGCTCCTCCCGGAAACTCACAAGAGATTCAATGGATTGGGTCAAAACAGCAGCCCACATCATCAACTGAGCAACTCTTGGCACTCAAGAACCGTACAAATATGCACAAATATGTACAAATGCAATGAACGTGGGGCCGACGTGGGGGGTCACTTTGCTTCCGGTGACCAGTTGTCAATCTGAGGACAGGTAACATCTGACATCATCTGCAGCTCGGATCTTTAGGGGGACATGGCCTGGCCTCAGAAGTGGACGAAGCAACAACCTGAGCACAGCAAAGGCATGGCACAACGATCTCCTCACGGAAATGAGTTGCTGATGTTACTGGGGAGCCCTGACACAAGTCACGCCCAAGTCGATCCCAACGAAGCGGGCTTCTGCCATGGCCCTGCTGCAACACGGTGGCAAGGCTTTGCTCGTTTGGGCATGGGTCTAATTTCAACTCATTGGGATCCCGCACGAGTAAGGGTCCAACGGCCGCCGCGTTCGAATACTGAACCCAAATGGGCGGGTTGTTGATATATCAAGATATCAATGCGCACATACAACTCCACCAGCCTACCTCTTTATCTCCCCGAACCAACCCTGCTTTTGAGATTTTTTAACCAGCTTGTCAGTCCCTCCGAACACAATCCAAAGGATCACTAGCACACGCCGAGACATGCGTGCGCCATTTGCTTGGGTTTCGGATGTCTTTGATTGGAGTTTCTTTAAGTTTCTTTGTCCGCTGCTCTATCTTTTTGAATGAACCTCTGCCAGGTGGCCAAGAGAAAAGCCCCCTTGCGTGCTCGCTTTGCGAGTAGGCAAGAAGGTATGGGAAGAGGTGACTGACGGAGACGATTTGTTCGGCACTAGGCATGGAGACTGCTGGCCTTTCCACATGGCTGTTGACACCCAACACTTACTGGAAGGGCAGCAGCCACAAATCCCTCTCCATCAGAGCGCATAACAGCAAAAAAAAGTTCCCCCCCGTCGTTGCCCTGTCTTTGCGTGAGGAATGCTTGTGTGTGAAGTGTCTTTAATGACACTGACTGTGTCCGGCCATGTCATGTTGCCGAATGCACACTCGCAGCCAACAAATATCATATCACTTATAACTTATAGTTTATTCTTCCCGGGGCAATGGGGGGCTCACGATTCTGAACCCCAGCTGTGCCACAGGCTTTTTTGAAAATCCTGGCATATGCTGAGTCGAACTAGCACATGCAACGTCGCAATTCCCTTGCACCTAAAGGTGACCAGGCCGCTTCGAGAAAACATCTATGGAAACTTCATGAACTATCTGCAGTGAAAATGTGCCACACAAACTCCAGGCCAAGAACACTTCAAGGAGCACAGCTAGCTAAGTGATGGATATGTATAGCACTACTGACTCAAGTAAGTGCCTCTTTCAGCGGAACTGATCCGCTTAGAACTGCCGCTGGTACCAAACAATGTACTCCGGATACACTTGATGATTGTCAAAGACCTCAGTCGCCGGATGTAAATGTTCTACGTATTTTTTAATACTCGCCCTCTGAAAATGTAACTGCAGCTGCAACAAAAGGATACAAAAGGTGTCTTCTGGCTTTCTTCAGGCTTGTGAAACTACTGAACCAATAGAACGTGAAACCCTAGCCCGTACCGCAAAAACTTCCAAGATCAGCTCCTCCTATCAAGCCAGCCACTACCACTGCCGAGGCACAATAAACTCCCGGAAAGTGCCATTGATCTTCTCCCGGTCTCCTAGTACTGAATGATAACCCCCACCTGCTTTACAAGAAGCAACCAGCGATGGGCTGATTGACACCGGTGAAGGGTGGTCGCAATAATTGATGTTGCCTCAGGGACTCGGTTTTCCATCAGGAATCCACAGTTTGAAAAAGAACTTGCAACAAATGAAGAATCATTTAAGCCGACCCAAAGCAACCCACTATGCATCTGAAGTGCCCAATGTGGCTCTGCATAGGAGCAATGGAAAGTATCCGCGCGCATCTGGGGATGTGTATTCATCCGCTTTCATACCTCAATCAGCTGGTGGAAAGTTCAAGATGTTCAACAGACATTTGTTTGCATCATTTTGCCAGTTGAGACACAAGGAGCCCCTCAGGGCACGACTTTTAGACGGTCCAATTACCAACAGCCCGTGCAGCACTGCGGCACCCACTTTAAGGATCGCACAGCTCTCGGCAAGATAGATACCAGGGCCGAAGAGCGAACCATAAGCAGAACCAGCGCCTGACACTAGCCATTTCTCCCGTAGTGAGGTGAGGCAACGTTGGATCTCCATGACAGAAGAGGTCCAATCCCATGACTAGAATGACGAAAAACCGTGATCTTGCTTTCGACTCCAAGAAAACATGGGAGGCTCAACCAGAGCAACAGCATATAAGTATGGGATAGGGTGTTGGTGATAGACTCATAGACTCTAATAGACAGTGACACAACATGACACAACTGTTGTATATCGCTCTCAGGGCACGGCCCAAGATCGTACCGAGTCACGCTTCAGGTCAAAGTTGGCATCGGTAATCCCTTCAGCCCCTTCAGGCTTGCAGCCATGCCAAAGGTAATGCTCGTTCATGCTGGGATCCACTGGATTTTCCTGGAAAAGCAAAACTCCACACTGGCCCTTCCCTGCCAAAACAAAAAAAAACTCTGGATGTTGGCTGTTCGCATCTGGGCTCTCAAGATTGTGTCCATGCACAGTACAATTCAACCAATTGTGTCCAGGAAAATGCTGAAGGTTTAGGTGTGGGTGTTCTATACACATTCAGTGATGTCAAAATGTCAAGCATAAAATCACTACAATAGCAGTGCTCAAAGTCGTCCCAAGCTGTCCTTTAAGCGGCCACCAAGAAGTGGAACAGCAGCAGTCTTCACATCCCAGGCATCCCCTGTGGCCATCTCAGCAGTTATGCTGGCACTAATCTCCTCTCGCCGTGCGCGGTAGTTCACATAAACCTGCGGCAAGGATACTGATCACGGAGGATGATGGACTTTTTTGAATCGATTGAATTGTCATGGCTTAGCTCGGGTATTCATGGATTATCATTGGTCTCATAGTTTATGATCACAGGTGATCGCATGGACTGATGCCAAAGCAAATGATCACTGTTGATCACGGATGATCACGGATGATCACGGATGATCACTGGTCACCAGCAGAAGCACCTTGAAATGTTACTGGCTCAACGCCTTCCACCCGCGCCTCCGCATTCTGGACATAGATGACACTGACCACCTGAGCGCAGATTTGGCAGCTGGGACTGCGAGGATTGAGACGTCACAGGTTGGATCTGTCTGCAAGATGGGATCCCACAAAATCTCGTGGTGAGTGAATCATCATTTTGGGCCAGACTGCCAGAGCTGATTCATCATCCTACATGCTCAATTAAAATTACCATGAAAATCCCAATCACACCTTCAACTTCTTCGCCACTGGCTCAGAGCCGCGGTCACGTGTGCGGGTCTTAGCACCATGACCACCCCAACCCCAGAAGGTTGCGTCCACTAACTCCTTCAAGCGAAGCATCAGTATCATTTTCCGGGGGTTCTGCCAGGACGACTAAGTTCAGTTCTAACAGATTCTAACATTCTGAGATTGCAGGGGTTCTTTAGTTTCCTTCCAAAGAATTATCCCATCGAAATCAAACTTGGAAAGCTTGGCAGCCACTTGGATAGAGTCGCTTGAGGACTCATTGAGTGCACAAGTTTTTCGCGTGACCATGCAGCTGCGAACCGTCCTGAACCCTCTTCAGGAGAGCTTGTCCCGTCTCCTCGTCCTGCGAATTCTATTGATCAGGGCACCGGACCCATTAGGGCACACGATTCAGATTAAAAATCAAGTGTCTCGCTGTAGTACTTGGGACCTTTGAAAAGTCAAGGCAGGACTTTTATACCCTTTATATGAATGCAACATAATGCAACCTCATTGTTCGTCATACCGCCTGAATATCTTTAAATATGTGTTGCTTCAATCATCTGCATCGTCACGCGGCATCGTCTCCCTTCCTTCTTCAGCAAGCGTGCAGCATCTGTACCAGCCATACGCTCCACAACATCCCAGCCCGCAGGCAGGCCCATCTTCTGCCCCACTTTTCGCGCTGTCTCATTGACCTTCCTAGAGAGAAGCAAATCTCGGAGGTGGCCCCTCGCTTCAATAAAAGAATTAAAAAATACTATATAGTGCCTAGATCATTGGTGGGCTACAATCAGTTCAGTGGGTCCTCTCTCTAGCCAATGTATATGATATATATATATATAGATACATACATGTGTGTGTGTGTGGGTGTGTATGTAAATATATACGCACACATAAACCTATTAACCAAAAACAACCCCAAGAAATCTCACTTTCTCACTCTGTCTTTGATTTATTTTTGTCCGCGCCTGGCGGCTCGCTCCGCCAGCTCCGTGAAGTTCTCCTGCTGCGCGCGCATCTCCACGGCCCGCAGCGTGGCCATGTCGTCGCTGTGCTGGGCAGCTGCTGGGAGTGGGAAAAAGCACCAATGATTCGTGGGATAACATGGGATAACATGGGATAACCAACAGTTTCACCTTGAACCAACAATTCATCCCATTGAGGAAATAAATGGAAATAACCTATCATTGGGATAATATAGTTGGGATAACCTTGGGATAAGGTTTTTCGATGAGGAAGTGGGGATTAGTGGGGTTGTCATCAAGTTTTACCTCAATGGGGTGAAAAATGACGATAACCTCAATGGGATGGTAAAACTAGACTTGTGAAATAGCCGAGAGTACACATGCATACACCATTTTTGTGATACATTTCCAACAGAAGTAATGATGATGCTCTTTTGAACTAATCAATGGCGTACACGTGCGTACACTATCAACAACAGGATTGGATATAATTCGGATACAAGCATACTTGTGATAAATGTAGTGAAAATACTCATGGGTTGGATTAGATATAAATGTCCGTAAACGAGATACCTCATACCATACCTATGATAAATTGAGTTAATTTATGTTAAGGTGAGGTAAAAATGGTTTTAAAACCCAGTTGCCAAATCCAAATGAGTCTATCAGTTTGGTGATGCTGGTTCAAGATATACAAATGGTTGTAAATGCCTCCAAGTGGAGTATCAGAAAGTTAAACGGATCAAATCACTGTCAGTTACAACTGTACGGAACAATTTTGTACTGATGCAATGTCTCCCTGTCGCTCGGCCAAACTACTGTAACAGAATAAGCTTTCTGAAAGCTTGCTTCAAAACTCTCATGAGAAACTGATAAACTGTGAATGAAAAGGTTCCTTTCTTTTGGAGACAGTGATCATCAGTCATCAGAGTCATCAGCCCGCACCGTGTCGCTCGCCTCGGCTCGAGCCAACGCAAGTTCCATGGTCAAGCGCAACACTTGAACCTCTGCAAGTTGTTCCACGGCCGACCAGCCACAAGCCTCACAAAACGGAAGCCCACTGAAAACAAAAAAAAAGCGTCCAAACACTTTGGATTGAAGTAATGTATGGTAACCTTTACACCAATCCCCCTAAAAAATATATGTTTTCTTGATTGCTGCATATGTTTTTTCCGACTTGAAGGCCACATGCATTGTGCAAACCATGGAAATTGTTGGACTAAAAGTTCCACGAGGCTCAAACATGTTTTTGTTGCCCCTGTATTTACCAGACAGTACATGTTCCCAACAATGGGCCGAAGAATGGTGAGCACAGAACAGAGACGCACAAGGGTAGAACGTGTGCCTTCGCCTCATCTCTCACTTGCAGTGCCTTCTGCAAAGCATCTTCAGTGTCCAGTAGGGCAGCCTGCTTCAAGCGCGACTCTCCTAGTGCCAGCACCCGCCTGCAAGGCAAGCAGGGCAGTGGATTCATCCATGGTCATCCAAGCTGTCAATACAAACTTCTGAATCCTGGCAAAATTGAATTGTTCAATCCCTTGTCATCTTGAAAATTGATACAACATTGGAGGAGTGTCAATTTGCCATAGTTGACTTAGTTGACTCATTTTTTGTGTCCATGAGGTACACGACCCATATCATCCATATCGTCCCATGGTCCCATGGGTCCTGGCCAACTCCACCAGGCCATGTGTCTCCGCCGTGTGATGCACGGCGCCCAACTCTGCGAAGTCCGCATCTTCGGAGACCAACCGCTCCAGGCGCGGCAAGAGCTGCTTGCCATACAAGCCCTGCTGCAGGGCCAACACCTGGCGCTGGGTGGATCCAAATGGAGCGCCGGAGCGCCGACCCTGCAGCCCTACAAAAGGCTGGTGATTTTCTGTGACATTTAGATATGGCTATTGCAACGATCAAACAAGCCATCCATTTTGGGGGCTAGATTGGCTAGATAGTCTTGAAATCTCTTGAAGCCCGCCTTGTCCTTGCCATCCCCCGGAAAAACGCAACGAAAACCACACAGCGATGCCTCTTTGTAAACCTGAAGCTTTTCCATTCCCTTCTCCCGTGCGAAGCGGAGCGCGTTCCTCATCTCAGCCTCGCTACCTGCGTCTGACTTTCCAAAAACATTGTGCAACAATAATCAGCACATATCAGCACTAGAGCACTGATGTTGCATCTAGTCAAAAGTTGCTACTAAACATCTGGAGCTTGATTGCAGCAATTGAGCATTGGTGTGACATCCTGGTTTCCTTTTCATGTCGTCAATATGCGTCACGCGCATGTACTGAGAATGTCAATCGTTGACAATGGTTCAAGATTCTGTCCCAGAATATCCAGAATGTTTGGAGCGATGTCAGCATAATAAATAGGTTTGAGCTGAGCCAGGCCTGATTCTGCTGCCGCTAGTAGCCGATTCGTCACGAGGCAAGACACCGCTGATGTTTTTGCTTGCAGTTCAACCTGTTCCAGGTTCAAGATTCTGGAGGGCCAAAGACTTACAAACTGGGTGCCGCAAAAGCCACCAGAAAGGTTTGCTGCTCCAATGACACCCCTCTAATATCCTCTCACCTATGGGACGCTTCATGGAATGCGGCAACCATCACACGCCTTTTCTTCTCCAAGGCACCCCGCTGGGGGCAAAGAGCAGGCAACGAGCCCGCCATAGAATGCTTCCATGTTGAATGGGTTCTAAATGCGATCAAACTTCGAGATGCATCGGGCGATCAAAAAAAGCTAAAGGCAATCCGTATGTCGTGTACGTCTACATCGCCAGGCCATTCCCTGGCGGTTCAGGATGGTTGAGGCTCATCTTCATCACACAACAAACATCTTGCGAGGTGGCTTGGAGGTTGAGAAACTCCAAACAAATCTGGAGGTCCAGTCCAAGCACCAGGCAGGCTGGGCAACTCTCAAAGGCTAATCGTGTGGACTCGGACAGCTCTGCGAAGGAGTCCCAAGACGTGGGCATGGGATCCATCCACATTGGCATCCTGAGCGATGTCGAAGGCAGTACGACCTCCAGAGTTCCTTTCGTTCGGATCTGCACCCTCTTCCAGGAGCATCCATAGAGTTTCATCATCACCCGCCTCTGCTGCCACATGGATCGGGTAGACTACCTCCCACTGTACGCAGGAGGTGCTAACTCCCAGCTCCCTGCGACTGAACGCATCTGGGAAGCCGTGCTTTGTCAGGAACTGTTGCAGGGTCTCCCTTTTGAGCTGGAGGACCAAGTCACTGCTATTTCCCCTGAGAAGTGCTTGTGTCTTCCTGATGATGGGCGCCATGTAAAGTGCAATGATCTCTCTCTCTCTCCCGGCAACGATGCCTTTCGGGGTTTTTGAGCCTAGTTTGCCAGCGGTTTCTTGCGGTTTGAACGGTTACAAGCCATTCTGTTCGCCATCTGGGATCTTCAGTGGGCTTGGCATTTTGCACACAACTGTTTCTTACACGTTCTCTCGGAATTATTCAAATTCTTGATTTGATTTTCCGTCATAACGTGGGCTTAGCAATTTGCATGCATCAAGCACAGCAAATTGATTTAAGTGGAGTAACGAATCGGCTCCGTCATCACCGGCCTCTCGTGCTCGAACAACAGCAGCTTCCATTTGTGCTTCGTCATTGCTGTTCACAGCAGCTGTCCTGAGTTGACAAAGGCACTAGTGAAACCATGTGAAACCATGTGAAACCATTCATCTCAGAGCTCACAGGAAGTTTTCTATCCATCACTGGTTGGAAAAAAAGCCTGGAAGCCATAGGACTTAGGCTGAAGGCTGTGCGTTGGAAAAGGGCTGCTACATGGGCCTCATTGTAAAGGGGATTCAAATGAGTTCAAATGGAAGAATTAGCAACTATATAATATATAAATATATAAATATATAATTTATATAATAGATTTAATAGATGTTCGGAAATTTGGAGAGCTTGCCCCAAGACCGCATGCCATGTGTGCTGCCATGGCTCAAGTCTGCTTTCAAGGCAAGGATCAACCTGTTGTCCACAAGGACAAATGTACCATCATGCTAGAAACACGCAAAGACATGTGCATTGGACATTTCGTGTATTGGTGCCATGTTTGAATACCAGATGGTAAACTTGAATTTGAGTCCCGGAACTCTTTGATGCACTCCTCCCTCTCCATCTTCGTTCCCTGATCAATTGCCAGGTCCACATCCGCAAAGAGCATCTCCAACTGCTCGGGACTTGGAGGCGGCGTGCTGGGAACTGAGCCATAGTCCATCCAAACGATGACGTCCATATCCTTGAGATCAATTAACGAGAGGGTTTTGAGTTGAATTCGGTTCAAAACAAGAAAACTCATGTGCCATGTCAAAACATGGCATATGCAGTGTGATAATACCACCATCATTAGGGATTCCTAATATGTGCATGATAAACCCTACTAACGTGGGGATGACCATCCCCTTTTGTGGGAAAGCAAACCATACTTTGACCATGGAACACATGACTTAAGCTGAAATGCAGATGTTTTTGGCCTTGATTCCCCTTGCATGGATGTAAGATGACGTCTTGCCTGTGGCCTGTGACTGTAAGACTGTAAGGATTTTTGCAAGCTGTACTTGCATCCTACCAACTGAAGCCAAAAAAAAAAAACTGACCGGCACACGTGGCCTAGCATCCGAGAGGGGGTCCACATGCCGTGTGCGTTTTCCTGGTTCCAAAACGACTAACTTCCACCAAGATGTTGTCGGGGCATTTGGGCCGACGCGACCAGCAGAAAGCTCCAGCAAATCACTTGTGACACCCTCCTTGGGAAGCGGCTCCTGGGATCACTCAGCAGAACAACAAACACACCGATCCATGGCGATGCGGTTATCACATAAGCCATCCATAGCCATCCTATGACGACGGGGTCGGATGGGGTCGGGCCCGTCCTGGCTGACCAGTGAATGCTCGATGACTTCCGTCAAGCCCCATTCAACTGGCTGACGATCTGCAAAGACTTCGAACGCTGGCACCTCATGGCAATGCATCTCAAGTGGCCCAAGTCCCATCGCAGTTGGCCCGCTTCCCCAGCAATCAATGCATAGAGAAAGAAAGGTATAAACGCCTGCGCATTTTATAAATATCAAATATGTTGATAATATTTTTTATAATATAAATATATGATAATATATGTATGTAGATATGTATCTGTGTCTTGATATGTAATTCTACACACATTATAGACATACAGTAACATAGATATCAAATACCATCAATCACCTATAGTAACTAGAGTCTATAGATGTCTATAGAGGATACTACACCCATTCCCCACAACATTTCACAACCCGCCTGCATTGCAACGCTCACTAAGGAAGAGATGTGACGCCGGTGGCTCTCACGGCTCAGAAGACACGTCTCAGGGTCCAAGGGGTTGGGCAATTTCTTGGCCACTCGATGGATGCGGTCCTTGCCATTGCGGTCAGCGTTGGTTCCCATGGAGAAGCAATGGAGGAAAAATATATATATTTATATGTATATATAACATTATTGATCATTATTGTCAATGTGGATCAATATGGTTTCTTCTCCAAATACCTTCGCATCGTGTGCGTGTCACGTGTTTGGCACAAAAAATCACTAAAGATGCGAAAGGGATTGAAAAGGACCTTGCGTCTTCCAGATGCAAAGCTGCACAAGAACATCATGCGGCCGGTAATTCGTATGCACCCTGGTAGGCTCTACCAGGAAACAGGCATGAATGTCATGCGCATGTGTATACATTGCCATCCCAAGAAGTTCAGCTAAAGCTGAGGGCAGGTGGCCCGGATCATCACTTCCAGGAATTCAGTGGATGTCGCAAGAAAAAAGTCAAGATGCCGACATGGAAAGGATGAACAATTCTTTTGGTGCACTATCTACGGCAAGGAGAATCGGATGGTCACAAGCTTCCAAAAAGGCATCACTGTAACGGCTCATCAGCACTTTCTGCCGTCCAAGCATCTTGTATTGAATTGATGGTGCTCTGACTGGCTCTCCCAGGCTTCTGGCGCTCTGATACTAAAGCAGGTTTGGTTTCTTTCCAAGTTTTGCCTTCAGCCCCAGGCTTTAGAGAGCGTTCCCGTATTTGGCGCTGCTTTCCTGATTCTTTGCTCTTCTGGCACATGTGTTTGAAGTCCACTTCCTCGGCTTGATTTCAGACAAACAAGAGCAACCACCAAGGAACGGCGAATCCAACAACCGCTCTGGGTGACATAGCCACAGAGGCAGACCAACCCTATCTGATGAGACATCTGGATGCATCTGGCTCTTGTCCGACGCATGTTGCCCCATGCGTCTCCATCTCCAAGCGTCGCAAGACTAAAGGACTTGGGTGTCCGGATATCCAAATAGCTAGACAGTTCGCAGTGGATTCCTTATTATGTGAGGTAAACGATTTGATTTTTTAATACTGCTTTGAGCCATATATCATGAACTTCTAGACTACCCCGGGCCGTACTACCCTACAAAAATATTAAGGATTTGACAATTTGTAAATTCCTTATTAGCATACTAATAAGATATTATTAGTATGCTAATAAGGAAAAAATCTCATTCTGGGATACAACCCTTAAATGTATCCTATTAGCATACTAATAATATGCTAATAGTAGCTTAAAATTAGATAGTAATTAAGGCCTAAAATCCATTACGTGTGATTTTGTATCCAATTCCTTATTTGTATACTAATCCGGTCTACATTAAGAAAAGTGCCTTTTTTCTTATTAGTATCCTAACAAGGATTTGTATCCCCAAATCATACAAAAACTTAATAGTATGCTATTAAGGCAATTTCCGTCCTTATTAGTATACTAATAAGTTTTTGTATCCAAGCCCGGCCCTGGTGGATACAAAAAATTAATAGACACCTAATAAGGCAAAGTGTTATCCCTTCAAATCCTTATTAGGGCACTAATAAGTTTTTGTATCCAAGCCCGGCCCTGGGGGATACAAAAAATTAATAGACACCTAATAAGGCAAATTGTTATGCCTTTAAATCCTTATTAGGGCACTAATAAGTTTTTGTATCCAAACACTATATCATGGGATACAAAAAAAAGTACAACAACCTAATTGGCCTCTAATAAGGAGCAATTGTGGATGTTATCCCTTCCAATACTTATTAGGGAACTATTAAGTTTTTGTATCCAAACAATATATCATGGGATACAAAAAGAGTGCAAAAAAACCTAATTGGCCTCTAATAAGGAACAATTGTGAATGTTATCCATTCCAATACTTATTAGGGCACTATTAAGGTTCTGTATCCAAACACTGTATCATGGGATACAAAAAAAGTGAAAAAAAACCTAATTGGCCTCTAATAAGAAGCAATCGTGGATTCCATATTACCGGTTACTCAGAGATTGCACACACAGGCAATTTGGTTGTCTCTGCTTCCATTTTGCTTAATGTCACACACGTCACAACGGTATTCGTTGCTTTGTAAGGCTCATTGCCTCCCAACACTATCCAACAATCTTTCTCTTCTACTTCATAGTGAGATACAGTTGTAACTCACTGTGAAGTAGAGGTGAAATGTGTGGGCACTTCCTTCTCGACCATGACGCCGTGAAATGGAGCGCAGCAGAGATTTGCAGCATACAGCTGAAAGATCGTTCGCTGAAAGGTCATTCAGTTGTAGGATGCAAAGCTGCCTCACTGGAGCTTCCAAGGGTTCTGATAAGCGTTCAAGACCTCTGTGGTCTTGTGCTAATTAAATGGGAGAGAGTGATCATGATTTCCATTATTAGCATTCTATTCATGAGGATTATATAGTTTGTGAGAGATTGGGGGGAAGGGTATTGGGTGAGGGTGAGAGAATTTCTGCATTGCATACCATGGGCGGAGGGGGATGAGAAGGGTGGTGGGGGTGGGACAAGAAAGGACGAAGTAGGGATGAGATAGGCAAGGGTGGGAATGAGTTCCTTATTAGTAGCCTATTAAGGATCATTGGAAATGGGAGCTTTGTATGCTCAGTCATGGTGGCCCAGTGTGCCCCCAGATGGCATGATCTGTTGTCTAGTGGCCATCGGCATGAAGCTAGCTTTTGGCTGCCGAGGAGGTTCGAATCCTCCCACTCCCAGATCCACTTTGCCCAGGCCACACTCTTAGCCAACTCGTTATTTAGATTGAGCGATAAACTCAATAAATTGTTAGGTGTCTAATAAGGATTAACCAAAAAGTTGATATCCACAATGTTGTATAAAATCTTATTAGGACCCTAATAAGCTGTTATACACAAATCATACCCATCAATTCTGTATAAAATCTTATTAGTTATCTATTAAGGCCACAAATCTTATTAGGACCCTGATAAGATTTTATACAAAAATCATCCACGTCAATTTTGTATAAAATCTTATTAGGCATCTATTAAGGCAAAAATTCCATATTAGGACCCTAATAAGATTTTATACAAAAATCATACCCCGTCAATTTTGTATAAAATCTTATTAGGCATCTATTAAGGGACAAAATCCTTATTAGGACCCTAATAAGAATTTATACAAAAATCATACCCCGTCAATTTTGTATAAAATCTTATTAGGCATCTATTAAGGGAAACAATCCTTATTAGGTCCCTAATAAGATTTTATACAAAAAAAAAGTTGTATAAATCTTATTAGCATGCTAATAAGGATTTTTTTCCTTATTAGCATGCTAATAAGTTTTATACAAAATGCCAAAATCAATTCTTATTAGGCTACTAATTAGTTTTGGTTTGTATACACCCCATTTTCCTTATTAGGCTACTAATTATTTCTTGAAAAATCAGGGGATACAAACCCGTTTTCTTATTTACTATCTAAAATTCTCTTAGGGTAGTACTGCCCGGGGGGGTGTAGAAGTTCATGAATATACATAGATCAAAATCTCTTGCAATGATTTCAATACCTCCTGCTTTTGCAAGCAGCTCCGTTGAAAGAAAGCGTCGTAACCCTCATTGTGGAATACAGTTTCAACACATGTAAAACAGTGAATATGATTATGCCGGTGCGCTTTTTCCTTTCTGCACATTTTTTGGGATTTTTTTTTCAGGCGGTAATTATTTCTTCGCGCCAAAAAAAGTAGGATTCACATGTTTTTTTTTCCGGATTGTGGCGAAGCTATTGTATCATCTCAAGGTCATTCACGTTCGCATTCTCCAGCATCACCGCGTTGATGAAATTAAGGTCTGTGTATGCATAGTATTCGCACGAATCTCTTCCAGTTTCTGGTGCGTTTATATACATGTTTGATCCTCATTTTGAGCTAGTGATGTATCATTTGCTCTCACTCTCGCCATACTGCCTTTGGGTGCTCATTCGCACTGAATATCGTCTCCACCCTTTGGAGCTTTGCTTTTGGCGGTATATAACTCTCCGACGTAGGTTCTCCATCGACTATTTTGACTGCGCCCTCCACACAGACCTTCGGCAACATCACCCCGCCAAACCCTTGTGGGGAGACCAATTCCGGGCCGTTCAATCTTTCCGATTTTGGTGGTGGATTGTTCTTTCACCTTCAGCACAGTGCAATGAACGAGACCCAAAGACTTGTCTGTGCTGAAGGGACTGCCCACTAAATGAAAGCACAAATGGTGGCAATGGCACCTCTGATAGCATGAAAACTCACAGGTTCTTTGCTTAGCAAGAGAGTATTTTTTCAGATTTTGCCACATCACGTCTCGTCTGAAACCTCTTTTCATTGACCACGTTGCACCCCAGGAATCACTTTCTGTAGGCAGATCATGATCCCATTGTCCATCATTTCCGTAACTTTTAAACACCTAAAACATTGTAACAGAACCATCGTCCATTATTGTTGCAAATGCAGCCCAAAAAAAAAAAAAAAACATCATTTGCTATCATGTGCAATAGCAGCAGCACTTTTTGACCTTTGATCAAACCCAAACATATTGCCACGATCCACCAAGCATCATATCGCCGGCCCACTGACATCACCTCACTCCGCGGCAGGCCTGCGGCTTTTGCACTTCGCAAGATGGCTTGCGCAAAGTCATCAAAGGGCACCCAGCTCTCATCATCCAATCGCACCTGCCATGGGAGTCACGGCAACCTGGCAACCCTAACAACATGTGCATATGCCAACTTTATCCAGCGTTCTTTTCTCTTCAACATGTGCATAGGCAGCTCCATGTGTGCCATCAATCTCTTTTTCTACTTTAGTCATAAGTAGTCATACGTCCGCACTTCTGCTGCGTCCACATTTGGCAGCAAAACTTGAAACTTAAAGATGCTTGTACCTGGAGTATGTGGAAACAAGAATGGAAGACCGGTACTTCCTGGAGAAGTAGCACCAAACCATTCATTCTTCTTTGTTAGTTTTCGAGAATCATGCTTCCTTGTTCCTTAGGCCAGGTGCCTCCCAAATGGATGGCGAATCGTCTGGATGCGAAGCTTCGTCCTCTTCGTCCTCCTCTTCTTCCTCATCCTCATCCACAAAGGACGAGTCGATGACATACGGGGTTAATCCTCCCGAACCTCATTTTGAATGTTGCCAGGTTGCAAGGAAGGGGAGGAAATCGCAGGCTCCAACTTGGAACAGTCTGAAGGCGCGATGGTTTCAAAGAAACATCAAGAAGAACATCTATCTTATGGAGATGTTTAGAGACTTTAGAGATCTTTAGAGTGCATACAATCATGCATAAACCTGCCACATTCACAACAGCATCGTTTGAAGGATCATAGTCATCCAAGGCTCAGAACGAGTAGGACAGCAAGCGCTCCACCATTGTCCAACATCTTCGGTCAAAGTCTGGGGTTCGCCAAACGACGACTTTTGTACAACAGGCAATGTAAAGTGGCAAAGCAGCCATGGCCAAGTCCATGCCGAAACGGTCCTCCTGCAGCACTCAAAGCTTCAGCCGAATTCAGTCAACCCAAAGATCTGCCACATATCAAGGGACCCTGCGATCTTAGCAAAATAGTGCAAGTGTCCAAGGTGACAGGCTTGGCAGTTGACTTCCCCTGTCTCAGGGGGATTCCGAGACGGCAATGCCTGATGTAGGTGCATGAGTTAATCATCGTCGTCGTCGTCATCATCATCATCCTCCTTGTCGTCGTCGTCGTCGTCGTCATCATCATCATCATGTCATCGCACAAGGGTTCTGGCCGCTCCACGCAACGCTGTGCAAACATCTTAGAATACCATAGAATACCTCCGTTTCAGCCGCAACCTGTTTCTGCCCGCTCTCCGGTCCTGTTCGCAGCAACAATAGTCAATCCAGAAGGCCACTTCGCAGGGCACTCCCGCTGCATCAGCCAAGCGCATGAACCAGCGTGCAAAGGACACCAACTTATTCGCCTTGACGTTGTCCTGCAGCGGCAACAGACCCTAGACGCATGTAGAAACGAATCTTAAATGACCCAATCTCAAGGACCAATGGCTACCAGGTGCTGCATTGTGTTGTGCAGTCCGTTACACAGCTATACAGACTATACCCAAAAGAAAACACCCGGGCACGTCCTCCGAGTCCGGATGATAATCCGATTCCGTGCGCAGCCAACGGTGTGAAAGGAGAAAAACCACCAGCCGCTGCTCAACGCTCTCGCGTGGGACTGACAGCCTCTCAGCCACGTCTTCCAAGAGCTGCTCAACTGGCTTTGCGGCACCACCGTTCCTTGGAATACAAAATCTGCATGGATCCCATTTGATCCCTTTCTCATGATTAGGATCACTGGTCTATCAGGACCTCAGGACCCCTGCATGGCGGCATGGCCTGATGATTTGTTGCAATCTCAAGCTACAGACACTTCCTGGATCTTCCTGGCAAACATCTGCAAACCTGAAATGTGAACAGCCAACTCTGCAGCCAACGAGGCTGATACTTCGGAAGTGCCCCAGCTTTGGCGATCTCAGACCAATGCAGCAGTCGTACAGGGGGGGTGTCAGGACACTCCAGGATCCACAAGGCCTTTCTCTCGAGACTGGCCTTGATGAAATGCCTGGGGCCAGGCTGATTAACACATGCTTCAACTGGCAGTGGTTCTCACGTTTCAGACTTTTTTTACCGGGGCTTCCAGCGGTTCGCCCTAGAGCTAGAAAGCGACAACCTGCAAAGTGTACGTTTCAGACTTTAAGCTCTGGGTTTAACCAATCGTTTAATACTTACAGTATACAGCGATAATTGATCTATAGTGATCTGCAAATTACAGCAAATTACTATATCTCTATATCTCTGTATTGAAGGTCTGGAAAGCTTAGAGATTTCGAATTTCTGCTGAGCGGCCGGTTGGACAACAGCTGCTGGACGTGGCGTCGTACCTTGGCGACCCTCACCGCGTGGCTCACCGTGGTGCGGAAGAGATAGACCTCTGCACCGGCCGTCCCCGATCACCGTCCCAAATTTTCAAAATGGGGAGGGTCCTGGTCCTACCCTGAAAAGTCCACTGGTCGATCAGCTTCCCTATCAAAAATATTCAAAAATGCCATTTTGATCCATTTTAGACTAAAATGTTCCTCAGATACCTCACAGGATACTCACAGGATACTTACGAGTGGGAGGTTTGGCCAGTTGACATGGGAGGGTCGTCTTATCCCACACCTGTCCTTGCCCAGCCCTTGCCCAGCCAGCCCTTGCCCAGCCCTTGCCCAGCCCTTGCCGCAAAAACCATCAAACCCAGGGCGAACGACAAGCAATGCCATTTATTTCAGCGGCATCCACCGCAAAAGTCTTGGCAAGCCACGTTGGTCATTGATTCTTGGGGCAACGCCAACGAATTCGCGGTTTGGACAAACTTGTTCAACTTTTTGGGAATCTGCCGACAGAGGTACCAATGGACACCTGGTCACTGGACACTGGAGAACGCCTTCAACATACTTATGGACTGCAAGTGACACATCTAATTACCAATTGTATACGCCCAGTTTTTGGAAGTTTGTTTCCTGCAAGCGACACATACCCAGACCAGACAAGAACAAACATGAGACAATGTGAGACAATGGAAATATATGGAAATATATGGAAATATATGGATTGATATATATATATATATATATTTATATTTATATTACATATATTATATATATATATATGCATGCGGAAATATATGATTCTTACCAGATCTTAGCCGCTTAGCCCCTTGGGCCAACTTTCCCATCGGTCGATCCCTTGAGGCCTGGAAGAGACCATCCACCCAAGTGGGCACGGCTGACAGTGAAGGTGTTACGGTCAATGGTCTCCAGCGCTACTGCCATGGCTTTCTGTTTGTGCACCTGGCATTAGAATCACAGTAGAATCAGAAAAGAGAAGCAAAATGAAACAAATGTCAAAGCAGTTGTTGGACTGTTGGATAAAAGATGATAAGAGCCAGGATGAACTGAGCAGTTGTCTTCCCTGCCTGGGCCCTCGAAAGGACGGGGTACAGCTGACGAGCTGCGTCCAGCCAAAGGTCATCATCAGCATCCAACAGAGGTCTCAGAGGCTGTCCCTGCTGGGGCTGCATTCGCTTCGAGAAGTTGTAACCTGAGTGCCGTGGCCGCCATGGCCGCCGTGGCCGCCGTGGCCTGAGCCTGTTCGCATTCCTGTTGTGGCATCAAGTTCAGAAAGCAAGCACTACAGGAATGGTTTTGATATGTTTTGTTGACAATTCTAGGCCTTTTCATATATGTTCCTTCTTTTCCATGTCTGTTTGATCGTCTTGAATGCCTCAGGGTAAAGCTCAGGCAGCAAGCCATGGCATTATTAACTGCTTGAAAGTGCTGCCTGGAAGCTCTCCAATGAGTCTAGCTTCATCCGCTGGTAGATTGAGAGACACTTTTTCCTTGTCCACCAGACCTCAAGAGCTGTCTTCAAAAGAATCTGTGAACGTATAAGTACATATAACATTATATATACACATTCATGTGCATATAGATACATATAGTACCAAAAAAAAACATTGCATATATCATATATCTCATGCGTCTATTTCTGAAGTGCAACCTAATGGCATCCCAAGACAGGCCGCAGTCGACCAAAAAATGCTGCCGAAGTACCACTGTTGCCAAGGCTACTGCAGATAGAATGATGGCCACACCTCTTGAGCACACTGATCACCGTCATGGAAACACATGAAAAGACTGTTCACCTCGACCACTTGCAGGCTGGGTTTGCAGAAACAAAGGAGCGCAACTCAGCTTGGGGGTTAAAGTCCCATCTTCCTGGCAGTTTTCTCGCAACTAACATTCATCCTGTCATTCTCCTTGCCTATGGTGGAGTTGCTGATGGTCTCGTCAACCACTTTGATGCGAGCTTCTAATCCTAGCAGGGTGGTCCGGCCATTCGCACAGCCTCAGATGGTACCATTGCAAATAAGCCAAAAAAGGGTGCATCATAAGGAGAACCAACAATTTTAAGGACTGCATTCTGTAATAGTTTTTTGTTTTTGTCAATCCATGATGTGTCGTGTGTGGGTCCCAGTTGCCAGCCCCAAGTTTCCAAGCCACAAGAGGCTCACCTCATGCCACGAATTTGCAACCAAGATGCCCCAGTAGAATTCCCACCATTCTCTGCTCTGACATGGATCACCCGTGGGAGAGCAAGCTGAGATCCAAGGAAAGGCGGAGAGACATCCTTGGCTGTGCACCGCGGCTTTATATTCTCGCCTTGGGGCGCCAAAGAAATGCCTAACATGCCCCACCACAAGCCCCACGTCACAGCCAAGCTTCGGTAGATGAGAGCCACAAGGATGAACCAGAAGACCCGCCTCAAGTTTCTGACGCTAAGTCAATACCAAAAGACAAACAAGTCATCAGTTTTTGCATGTTCAGCACACTGGCTAACTAGATGTTCTGGGTTCACTGTGTCACTTACATTTCAAACATGTCCTTTCAAAGAGCAAGCCCATCAAGGCCCAGTGAGACGTCCCCCGATTTCTTTTGCTGGCTGGTCATGAACGTCATTTCGCTTCTGCAAAGGTTTGATGCTTGGTTCCCCCACAGCGGCGGAATCCTGCAAATGAATGCAAATGAGGATTGGTGTTGCAAGGCTTTTGAGCCAAGGAACTTTTGACTACTTATGGAAATCTTGGTGAGATAAGTCTCATTAGTACGCATCCCAGGTCCTAGGTGTGTTGATTCTTGTCGTATCTCTAATCATCGGATAAAGTCCAAAAAGACATCGCACCCTTGAAGACACGGAGACAATGATTCTGCAATGGGTATGTCAGAGTTTCTGCTGATTGCTCTTTCACCACCTATCTATCTCTGGCTCAGAAAAAACTCCCACTGTTCAGCAAGGACCCTGGCAGTCATGCGCCCGCCGGGAAAGGAGGCGAAGACCCTGAACAGGGAAACAAAATGCGTCCAAGCATACCTCTGCTACGTGCCAAACAATTTCCTGATGTAATGCCTGTTTACCCATTGACATCTTGACCATCACCTCACTCGTCTTCAACAATCCGCACAAGTGCCAAGCGAACAGATTCCCACCTGTGCCAAAGCCAGTCCCGCACTTCGGGCATGCATTGTACCACAATAGTGAAGGACAGTAGCAAAGATGTAAGAATGGAGGTGGTCACCCAAAGTTTGTCGCCAATGGCAGCCTCATCATAGAAAATCCTTGGAGATCAAGCCACTACCAAACAGATCCAAACAGCATCAGTATGTGGAAACTGAGCCATTTATGAAGGTTGCACTCGGAGCGGCGGTGGAGCTCCGGTTGTCCTCAATAGACTTCCCACTTCTAGCAGCTAGCAGCACTAGAAACCTCTAAGCCCTCCGGTCGTCTTCCAAGGCAGCTAAGGTTCAAAAATACCGCTTGCAGGGCACTTTGCTCCACGTCCTCAAAGATGAAGCGCAGAAGAGCAATCCGAGCCTCTGAAAGCTTCCTCAGTGCAAATGTCTTTATAATACGTATACCGTATACCCAATCACCGGGCAAGTTGAAGGACCAAAGGAGTGCCCTTGCCACATCTTGGCACATCTTCCCCTCACAAACACATTGTGTCAAGGCGCATGGCCCACGAACTGGAACCACCAAGGCGTTCCTCAACAGCTGGACGCACCGCGTAGACCAACACCTGAGCTTTGAATCCGTTCCTCTAATGCCGTGACTATCGGCAAAAAGACGGACGAGTCAACATATTCAACGCACCACGGACAAATGTTATCAAAGTATATATAATATCAATGTTCACGATATTCGTTGCCGAAGTAGCCCTAACACACCACTGCAACTCAGTACACATCATCGATGAACTAACTTCAACCTACCCTCAAGCTTCTTGCATTCAACCAGTATAGTCCTGCCGTTACAACTGTAGCACACTTTGCAGCACCACATCCACTTGTGCTCAGATACCAAGTTGTCGGAACCTCGCAAGGCAATGAAGGCTCCTTGCACCAACAATCGGTCTCGCTCCTCAAGGGTTGGCACCTCCACCCCGCCGGAGTGCCATCATGTGCCATCAATATCAATGGAACTCATACGAAACTCATGAAACCACGAAAACAATCGAAAACACCGAAGGAAACACCTCCCAACACCCCCCGGGTCCTCTGGAGTTGTGGCGTTCTGATATTTCTTCGCGCATGAGGCAATGACCAAAAGTTGCACCAGGACTTGCATGAGCCCAACACCCAAGCCAACCAACCATGCTGAGACAAACCAGAGTTCAAAGTTGCATTTGTTGGCAATCACTGGGAACCTTAGTTTGCAGTGTTAGCACGGTGTTGGCCACAAGTTGGGTGGAATGAGTGCAGCCGCGGGTTCTATCATGTTCTATTCTATCTGTAACGTTCTATAGTTGTCTGCTCGGAAAGAGACAGCGCAAGTGGCGTCTAAGCCAAGATACGTTGCATCCTGATAGGTGTCAGTTAGAAGGATAAAGGAGCACACAGCTCGGAACAGCAGGCGCAGCAGGCGCCAACGGAAGCGGTAGCAGAAAGCTGCAGCGTGCCTGGGAAGCCGGTTGATACCAGTAGGATCCAGTAGGGGCTTTGAATCAATGTGGAGGCCTCACCCAACACATTGGTTCATCCAGGCCACTGTCCGCTCACAGTTCGCAGTAGGGCGAAGGACATCAAATTGGTGATGCACATGTACAGAAACCACGCTCCATGGATGTAGGTTGGGAACCCTTCATCACAACCTGAGTGTAGCAGCTGATCAACGAGCCGGCAAATCATGTGGATAGGAACCAAGTTGCAGGACTCACAGATATGCCAATCTTCCCCAAGGAACTGGTCATCATCTGGTAGCCGGCAAACGGCAGGAAGGCAGCAGCGCAAAGATTGCAGAAGTATTGGATGCCTTGCTGAACGGGCAAATCGTCTTCAGTTCAGGGATGGAAACTCTGGTGGTTTCTTGAAGCCAGGGCTTAGGGGTGATAAAAGGGTGTCTTGGAGTCTTGGAAAGAGGTGTAGTCGTAAACCTGCGTAATGAAGTCGTGCTGACAACTGCGCCATGCCCATCGCGCCTAGAAATATGCGTGCATTGCGGCTGGTAAGTCTTCGCAGCAAATGACGAGCAACCTGTTGAAGACATGACATGCAGCTGCCAAGCGAAACCGCATCAATTTGCAACCAGCTATACAAACGACGCAAATGTTGCTGATATTGCTACTTGTCGAGGGGCCAGGCAAGTGATACTCAGCCACATTCAGCCACGGCATTGGTTTGATCAAGAGATCGACTAAAGCTGCGTTATGCTTGGCATGTCCGTTTTCTACTCAATCACTTGTTTTCTACTCAATCACTTTGTCCCTCTCCAGGTGATTAAGCGACTTGTCAGGTTTGCTCTCTATTTTCTTTCCCTAAGCTTGGTAGTGAGATACTGAGGTGCTGAGGCAATCTCCAGCGATGCCTCAAGGTGCAACTGCTGAAGTTGTTGCGCATCCTGATAACTCAAAGGAAGCAAAGGCAAACTGAGACCGTCTAAAGAGTCTAAAGCGGCAATCGGAGATTCCCACACGTGTGTTTAAATATGGGAATTCCCATAGCGGCCCCGATAAGCACTCAAGTCCTCTTCCTCCTTCTTCGTGCGTGTCAGTTTCGTGGCCAATTTCTCCACGAAATCCTTGGATTACCAAGAATGCCAGGTCCCCTCAATTCCATCGATCAATTTGGATCCATTTGAGCGAGCTTTTACCTTTCCATACCTTTCCTCATGATGATATCATGTGATATCAACATGTACCAGGAATGTACCAACTTTTCTGATGTGCTCAAGTCTCCAGCAAGTCCATGCCTGGCGCTCGCGCTTGTGCTTTGATAAAAGCTGGAGGTTGCTGTTGCACTGTTGCCTCCGGGTTGTGGAGAGCATGAGAGCACCAGCTTGGAGGTAAAACAATGCATGGCTGGCATGGCTGTTCGTGCAAACAACTCTCTTTCTTTCTCTCTTTCTCTCCTTCTCTCTTTCTCTCCTTCTCTCTTTCTCTCCTTCTCTCTTTCTCTTTCTATTTCTATTTCTCTCTCTGTTTCAACAGGATCTTCCTAATAAATGCAGAAGTCATCGAAACATGAGGCACGCCAATCTGAAGGAAAAAGCAGCAGGCCGTACGTCAATCCACAACCAACGAGAAATATTTCTCCCTGCTTCCCTGGCGCCTGGTCCCAGGGAGCCGGCAGGTTGGGAGCCAGCCGCCATTTGCAGCGACTCAGCTGCTGACGAAGTTCCAAGTGTTGCCCCTGGCAAGTGCTACGCAAAGACCATCTGGACATAGTCTCCAAACGGGCATCAATGACCATTGCATTTCCCCAACTGTGGACTCTCTCCAAGCCCCGGAGCGCCTTGGGAACTCGAACGGCATACTCCACCTGCAGCATTGGAGCATCCTCCTTACCAGCAACGCTCAGATGCGTCAACACTAGCTTCATGGCAAAATGACTACTGTGGATCTTTCGACGTTTGCTTCAAGCTAAACCCACGACTCTTGCAATCGAGAGATACAGTAGCCATTAAATCCGCCGACCCCGGCCGACCGCAAGGGGGAGCGCGTCAGGGAAGAGAGGTTGTAGACAACAAGAAATACAACAACGGGTCGGGGACCAGCAGCAGCAGCAAAAGCCTCTGCAGCAGCAGGAGGAAAAGGTAGCCAAAATTCATAGCAGCAGCAAGAGGAAAAAGCAACCAAAATCATCATTTTCTATGCGTTTTCGTTAGGCATTTATGGGGTGCAATTTTGGGGTTTCTCCGTCCTTCACTGCCATGGTGTTTTCCCATCCAGCAGCAGGCAGCAGCAGGCAGGAGCAGCAGGCAGCAGCAGGAGCGGCAAAGTTTCAATTTTATAGTAGGGTTTCAGAAGTGACGTTAGGCCCTTTTTTGGGGTTCCATTGCTACGTTTTTGCTCTTTCGGATGTGTTTCGAAAAGGGTGTCTGGCTGTTTGTTTCTTGCTTTGGAGGCTGTTTGATTGCAGCAGCACCACAGCAGCACCACAGCAGCAGCAGGAGCAGCCACCAGTAGCAGCACCAGCAGCAGGCAGCAACAGGCAGCAAGCAGCTTCTGCCAGCAGCATGCCAGCAGCAGGCAGCAGCAGGCAGCAGCAGGCAGCAGCCAGCAGCAGCCAGCAGCAGGCAGGAGCAGGCAGGAGCAGGCAGCAGCAGGCAGCAGCAGGCAGCAGGCAGCAGCAGGCAGCGGCAGGCAGCGGCAAAGTTTCAATTTTATAGTAGGGTTTCAGAAGTGACGTTAGGCCCTTTTTGGGGTTCTGCATTCAACGCTGCGGCACGCTTGCGGATGGCAGCTTGGACTGTGGCCACATGACATGCGTTGCAGACCCGTGTGCCATGTTGACTCCGGCCGACGCAAGGGGGAGCGCGCCAGGGAATAAGACATTTTCCGCCGACCATTTGGAAGCTTGCAACAGCAGCAGCAACAGCAGCAGCAGCAGCAGCAGCAGACAGCAGCAGGCAGCAGTAGGCAGCAGCAGGCAATCACAAAGCCATGCAGCTTGTACTTATAAGGGTAAGCAGCAGGCAGGCAGCAGCAGCAATATGATGTTTCGCAGTCCAGGGCCCGCGTTTTTGTAGTCTAGGATTCCCGAAGAGATTCTCTAGGATTTAGGATTCTCTAGGTAGCAGCCAGCAGCAGCGAGTAGCCAGCAGGGCCAGCAGTCAAGAAGCAGGTAGCAGGCAGCCAGTCGAAGCCTGATGCACAAAAAAAGAGATATTTTTTCTAGGAATTCAGAAGGGTCGTTAGGCAGTTTTTGTGGGTAAGTTTGAGCACGGTTTCGGCACGCAATTAGGTGCTGTTTTGCTGTGGCGAAGGGTCCCTTCTGGAAGCCTGATGCTTGCAGCTTGGAGCTACCAAACAAGAGCTGCAGGAGACAAATAAAGAGAGATTTTTTCTAGGCATTCAGAAGGGACGTTAGGCAGTTTTTGTGGGTAAGTTTGAGCACGGTTTCAGCACACAATTAGGTGCTGTTTTGCTGTGGCGAAGGGTTCCTTCTGGAAGCCTGATGCTTGCAGTTTGGAGCCACCAGACAACAGCTGCAGGAGACAAAAAAAGAGAAATTTTTTCTAGGAATTCACAAGGGGCGTTAGGCAGTTTTTGTGGGTAAGTTTGAGCACGGTTTCGGCACGCAATTAGGTGCTGTTTTGCTGTGGCGAAGGGTTCCTTCTGGAAGCCTGATGCTTGCAGCTTGGAGCCACCAAACAACAGCTGCAGGAGACAGAAAAAGAAATTTTTTCTAGGAATTCAGAAGGGGCGTTAGGCAGTTTTTGTGGGTAAGTTTGAGCACGGTTTCGGCACGCAATTAGGTGCTGTTTTGCTGTGGCGAAGAGTCATTTTTGTGGGGAAGTTTGAGCACGGTTTCGGCACGCAATTAGATGCTGTTTTGCTGTGGCGAAGGGCCCCTTCTGGAAGCCTGATGCTTGCAGTTTGGAGCTACCAGACAACAGCTGCAGGAAACTAAAAAACAAAAAAAGATAGATTTTTTCTAGGAATTCACAAGGGGCGTTAGGCAGTTTTTGTGGGTAAGTTTGAGCACGGTTTCGGCACGCAATTAGGTGCTGTTTTGCTGTGGCGAAGGGTTCCTTCTGGAAGCCTGATGCTTGCAGCTTGGAGCCACCAAACAACAGCTGCAGGAGACAGAAAAAGATTTTTTTCTAGGAATTCAGAAGGGGCGTTAGGCAGTTTTTGTGGGTAAGTTTGAGCACGGTTTCGGCACACAATTAGGTGCTGTTTTGCTGTGGCGAAGGGTCCGTTCTGGAAGCCTGATGCTTGCAGCTTGGACCCACCAAACAACAGCTGCAGGAGACAGAAAAGAGAATTTCTTCTAGGAATTCAGAAGGGACGTTAGGCAGTTTTTGTGGGTAAGTTTAAGCACGGTTTCGGCACGCAATTAGGTGCTGTTTTGCTGTGGCGAAGGGTTCCTTCTGGAAGCCTGATGCTTGCAGCTTGGAGCCACCACACAACAGCTGCAGGAGACAGAAAAAGAGATTTTTTCTAGGAATTCAGAAGGGACGTTAGGCAGTTTTTGTGGATAAGTTTGAGCACGGTTTCGGCACGCAATTAGGTGCTGTTTTGCTGTGGCGAAGGGTCCGTTCTGGAGGACTAATGCTTGCAGCTTGGCGCCGCCAAACAAAAGCTGCAGGAGACAGAAAAAGACCGACATTTTTTCTAGGAATTCAGAAGGGACGTTAGGCAGTTTTTGTGGATAAGTTTGAGCACGGTTTCGGCACGCAATTAGGTGCTGTTTTGCTCTGGCGAAGGGTTCCTTCTGGAAGCTTGATGCTTGCAGCTTGGAGCCACCAAACAACAGCAGCAGGAAACAAATAAAATAAAAAAGGGAAAATTTTTCTAGGAATTCAGAAGGGGCGTTAGGCAGTTTTTGTGGGTAAGTTTGAGCACGGTTTCGGCACGCAATTAGGTGCTGTTTTGCTGTGGCGAAGGGTCATTTTTGTGGGTCAGTTTGAGCACGGTTTCGGCACGCAATTAGATGCTGTTTTGGTGTGGCGAAGGGTCCGTTCTGGAGGCCTGCTGCTTGCAGCCTGAAGCCACCAAACAACAACTGCAGGAGACAGAAAAAAAAAAACTAGGAATTCAGAAGGGGCGTTAGGCAGTTTTTGTGGATAAGTTTGAGCACGGTTTCGGCACGCAATTAGGTGCTGTTTTGCTGTGGCAAAGGGTTCGTTCTGGAGGGCTGACGATTGCAGCTTGGAGCTACCAGACAACAGCTGCAGGAAACAAAAAAACAAAAAAAGATAGATTTTTTCCAGGAATTGAGAAGGGGCGTTAGGCAGTTTTTGTGGATAAGTTTGAGCACGGTTTCGGCACGCAATTAGGTGCTGTTTTGCTGTGGCGAAGGGTTCGTTCTGGAGGGCTGATGCTTGCATGCAACTTGCAGCCACCAAACAAGAGCTGCAGGAGACAGAAAAAGTCGACATTTTTTCTAGGAATTCAGAAGGGACGTTAGGCAGTTTTTGTGGATAAGTTTGAGCACGGTTTCGGCACGCAATTAGGTGCTGTTTTGCTGTGGCAAAGGGTTCGTTCTGGAGGGCTGATGATTGCAGCTTGGAGCTACCAGACAACAGCTGCAGGAAACAAAAAAACAAAAAAAGATAGATTTTTTCCAGGAATTGAGAAGGGGCGTTAGGCAGTTTTTGTGGATAAGTTTGAGCACGGTTTCGGCACGCAATTAGGTGCTGTTTTGCTGTGGCGAAGGGTTCGTTCTGGAGGGCTGATGCTTGCATGCAACTTGCAGCCACCAAACAAGAGCTGCAGGAGACAGAAAAAGTCGACATTTTTTCTAGGAATTCAGAAGGGACGTTAGGCAGTTTTTGTGGATAAGTTTGAGCACGGTTTCGGCACGCAATTAGGTGCTGTTTTGCTGTGGCGAAGGGTCCGTTCTGGAGGGCTGATGCTTGCAACTTGCAGCCACCAAACAAGAGCTGCAGGAGACAGAAAAAGACAGACATTTTTTCTAGGAATTCAGAAGGGACGTTAGGCAGTTTTTGTGGATAAGTTTGAGCACGGTTTCGGCACGCAATTAGGTGCTGTTTTGCTGTGGCGAAGGGTTCATTCTGGAAGCCTGATGCTTGCAGTTTGGAGCCACCAGACAACAGCTGCAGGAAACAAATGAAATAAAAAAGAGATATTTGTTCAAGGAATTCAGAAGGGGCGTTAGGCAGTTTTTGTGGGTAAGTTTAAGCACGGTTTCGGCACGCAATTAGGTGCTGTTTTGCTGTGGCGAAGGGTTCCTTCTGGAAGCCTGATGCTTGCAGCTTGGAGCCACCACACAACAGCTGCAGGAGACAGAAAAAGATATTTTTTCTAGGAATTCAGAAGGGGCCGGGCGTTAGGCAGTTTTTGTGGGTAAGTTTGAGCACGGTTTCGGCACGCAATTAGGTGCTGTTTTGCTGTGGCGAAGGGTCCGTTCTGGAGGGCTGATGCTTGCAGCTTGGAGCCACCAAACAGCAGCTGCAGGAGACAGAAAAAGATATTTTCTCTAGGAATTCAGAAGGGACGTTAGGCAGTTTGTGGGATAAGTTTGAGCACGGTTTCGGCACGCAATTAGGTGCTGTTTTGCTGTGGCGAAGGGTCCGTTCTGGAGGGCTGATGCTTGCAACTTGCAGCCACCAAACAAGAGCTGCAGGAGACAGAAAAAGACAGACATTTTTTCTAGGAATTCAGAAGGGACGTTAGGCAGTTTTTGTGGATAAGTTTGAGCACGGTTTCGGCACGCAATTAGGTGCTGTTGAAAATTGCCACAACTTCCAAAGCACACCTAAGTAAGTTTGAGCACGGTTTCGGCACGCAATTAGGTGCTGTTTTGCTGTGGCGAAAGGTCCGATCTGGATGGCTGATGCTTGCAGCTTGGAGCCACCAAACAACAGCTGTAGGAGACAGAAAAAGAGATTTTTTCTAGGAATTCAGAAG